CTGGCTTGATTGGCCTTTTGAACTTCCCTCTTTACCAACCGCGAGTGTGAGAGTGAGAGTGAGAGTCGGAAAGAAAATTAGAGGTGCAAGTTCTCCCAAATGTACAGAAAAAGTCAATTCTGGCTGCAAAAATCCTCAATGACTGCCTCACTGGTTCAGTGCTGAGAGAGAGAGCGAGTGAGCAAGCACACTTACATTTAACCCACAAAATGAAGGTGAGACGCAGCTAGAGTAAGTTAGGGTCTAGACAAGCTGGGTAATGATAGTAATGATGACAAAGCAATAAAGGCTTTCACACCTGCCAAGAGCACTAACCTCTCCAGGGACCCTGGATGCATATTCTTCCAACTGCTAAGAAATTCACGTGCCAACATGTCTTCACTACCATTACTTCCTGTACTTTCTTTTCTGTATCAGGCTAGTCCATGTTACAATCTGTGGTAGAGACCTAGACAGAGAATGTGTCTGAGAATGGGATGGATGAGGAAAGGGGCTTGGATGACAGAGAGCAGTCAGGAGTACAAAGAGAGAACCACAAGTCATTGCCATGACAAACTGCAGACCCTCTATATAGACTCTATGTTGGACAACCTTGTTACAATGACCAGATTCTCTCCTAATGGCTACAGTGCACAGCTTCCTTCCCACCTTTAACCCCTTACTCTCCTGCACATGAGGCTCTGTGATTCTTGGCAACTTCTGTTCACAAGGACTGGTAAAGCAGGAAGCTGAAGGTCATCTGCCCAAGCAGGCAGTTAAATAATTGGATAGCTTTTGTGGGTGGCCAGCACTGCAGTGAGACACAACAGCTGATAGGGGACACTTGGCCAGCACGTCAGGTGAATGCATGAGGTAGGAAGCTCTTGAGAGCAGAAAGCAATGTGTGCTGAATAAATCTCTGACCACCACTCCTTCTGTGGTCAATTCTGTTGTAGGCACAAAGCCACTAGAGAAGATCATGACTAGAAACAGCTGTGAAGTGCTTCAACCATACAGGCAGAAATAAACTCAGCGTCAGGTTTGAAGAGGGAACCAGAGGATAAAAAGATGCCTTCTCATTTATCATTACAGCCAACATGTAGACGTCACATTATCTGACTCAAGCCACAAACTAGGTAACTGGATTGCCAGGTTTAAGGTTTCAGGTCACATCAGGGAATAGTTTTACCAGCAGATGTAAAGATTCTCCCTTGGGTAGCATTCAAGGTCAAAGTCAGCAAATCCTAGCCTAAAAATAGATTCTAGTTTCAAAGTTGGTAAGATTTCCTTTATCGTCCTGCCACACTTCATAGATCCAAGCTACCTACAGCACCTGTCTAAACCTACAGGTAAGCCTGACTCATATGAGCTTTGTTCTGTGTTTCTTATACTATCATGCTTCCTTTTTAAAACTAGCTTAACAATCCATGGCAAGGACTGAGAGCTGGCGAATCTTCCAAGATAACTGTGGTCTTTAATAATTTATGCAGACATAAGGCATAAGAAGGTGACAATCTAAATCATTTTGAAAGAGCAAGATAGAAACAGTTTAATTTTTAAATCCTACTTTGTAGATTAGTTTATAAGAAGGGATTTTTTTTAACAATACAATTTTGTTTACCCCAGAGACAGAATAATCTAAAAATATCAGAGAAAATACAGTTTGAGGAAGGGTATTTTAGCTTAGGGGCTGGAGGCAAGGGTAGGGGGGTGGGGAGAGTTGTGTGTATTTGTTTTTTAAGTCTTTATTTGTGATGTCTCCTTAAAATCAGAAACATCCCCCTACCCTATATTTTTTCATTCTCTGATAGTCCTTCCACTTAAATCTGACTTTTCCAATTCAATTACAGTTCTCTGAGATGAGACTGGTTTTAAGTTTCATGGGCACTCTCAGGACATTTAATGAAACCCCAGCTTAATCTGTTTTAAATTAACCAGTTCAGTCAACAATGAAGAATGAGGGTAAATATATATTTTTAAAAAGTCATTGGTGGTTTAGAAATTCATCAAAATAGCTGGCTAGTTTAGAACATACACAGCAGGAAGATTTGGAAAATAATTACAGAAGTTTACAATTCCTTCTTGCTTGAAACTGTTTAAAGACAGCTGCATCAAATGAACTGTTTTACAGCCCCAAAGTCTTTCAAAACATAAGGGCATCTGCAAAATATGAAGAAGCTGAATTAAGTGACAATTCTGGGTAAATATTGGAGGAGGATTATAAATAAGGGCCACATTTTTCTTTGTTTTATACCATGTGGGTATCCTAGGATTTTAGTTATGTGCTTACAGCTTTTAGTTCTTTGTCAGCTTCTTAGCAGATGAAGAAATTAGCTTTTCACCCACAGAGCATTTTCCCCCAGGAGATATTTGTACATATCTTTTTTTTTTTTTTTTGCAAAATACACAACATTCTTGATCAAATA